CCAGACACACTATGTGTGTTATCACAAAGTATCAGTATCGGATCAGTATCGCCGATACCAGCCACATTTTACTTGGTATCAGTATCGAACATCACTAGTTATGTTGTTTTCTGATGCTACAGTTGTTCAAACTCCCATTTCCCTCATGAATTCTGTACTTTATAAAAAAAAGAAAACAGGTTTTTGTAATGTTAGCCCTGCTAGTCTGACATTAATAAACATATTTTGATCTTACCTGTAGGCTGAATAAAGGTGAAAAGCTGCATGTGTTAGGTATGTTACTAAAAAGTTGACTTATTTGTATACATAAGATAGAAAATGTTAACATCTCCAGTTGTTTATGCTTAGTACACACACACACACACACACACACACACACACACACACACACGTGTTGAAATAAAACATATCAGAAGGTGTGTTTTGCTGGGTGACTGGTATTCAGACAAATAACTCATATTCTAATATTAGAGTCAATGTTTGTTTTGATTAATTGTTAGTTATTAATTATAATAATAGTAATTATTAGTTAATTGTTTATATTTCATTTCAAATGACTATAATTTGCACATTTTAGTGCAAAGAAAATAACTTCAGCTCTATGTAAAAGCTCAAATTACACAAGAAAAAGAAGTTTGTTGCAGTGATGTATAGATCAGGTGTTCTTCACCTTTTTGACCTCAGGGCCCAATTTGTTGAACATAAAGTGGCACGAGGTCCAATCAGACATTACTAATGTATGGATCTAATAGATAATTATTCTAAATCTTGGTTTAATTTTTATTGAAGTCACATCATCATTTTACAAACTAAACTATCATTACTAACATAACTAAATTAAATACACTTACAGTTTAAAAGTAAATCTCCTGTTAAATAATCACAAGACATGATTATAACAAACATTTTTATATTGTAACCTGCCCATAAAAAATGTATGAACAAATACAAAGGTCAGTCAACAGACCATTCAGGCTTATCAACACAAAAAAATATATATTTTTTAACACAAACAATAACAAA